CCTGCAATGAGAGTTAAAGGTGAATTAAACTGATGAACAGAATGTTCAACTTAGAATCGGCAGTTTTTACTGTTACATGTTTTGAATTTAATTTTGCTGCAGGAATGTCATCGTTTTCATTATTTTAAGCTTTTAGTTTTCTTTTCTACACATTGTTGTTACTTTTCAGTGTACAATAAATTGCAAATTCTGATTCTTTTCCCCCCTTCAGACTGTGGATGTGACATGGAGATATTCAACCAAACAGAATGAAGTCATGCAGCGAAGATTACATGTCAGCGAGGAATGGCTGGCAAGAGCATTAGCATTTCTAAATTACCAGGTCAGTTGCTCCTTTCAACCATCTTGCTGGGAATAATCACTACAAGGCTGTGACTTGCACAAAATTTTCCATGTCTTACCAAATTTGGACCATCAGGGTCTGTGCCTTGTCAGTCAACTCAGAGTGAAGCTTCAATTGAACTAAGGGAATTGTTCATCAACTGTGTAGTTACCCCTTCCCTAATTCAACATTAAAACTACTCGTTATCAGTTGACTATGGTGGGGTTAGGGGAGGGGTTGGTGCCTAGTGCTCAGAAACAGACATGGATGTACTTTTGACAGGTCAAATGTGAACTGACCAATCACAATAAAGCTTAACACACAAACACAAACAAAAAAAATATTTCTCAATTTCATAAATGTTTCTGATGTTCATAGTTATCTTACAAAAAGTATCTGTTAACCTAATAAATAGTTACTTTTCTGACTCATGGATATTAAACATGGCTATAATCACTGTTTCAATATTGTCTGTTTATAATTCTTATAGAAGCAACAAAAACTCTCCCCTGCAAGGCGTGAAACACTCAGGGAACGTTCAGCTCTGGAATTGGCTGAGTTCCTTTCAAACTATCAGAAACAACTTGAACCCAAGGTAAATTAAACTATTCTTTCTGTGTGACATATCTCTTTATCAAAGATAGGGCTCCATTCCACAAACACAAGTTTTGGTCTCACTAGAACAATGTTTTCCCAGTTTGTAGCTGTTGCTTCTGTTTAACCCTTCACATCCCAACATCAGTATGCATATTCTCCATACTGTTCTCTATACATTTCCCAATGGGCTGACAAGGAGAATTTGTTTTACTATCAAGAGCTACTTTAGTTGCTGATCATTTCCTTAATTCTCACAACATGAGCTAATGGTTATGGTGCTATAGAAACCCTTCATTGTTGTTATTGTTATTATTTTGCCTGTAAATGGGATTATAACCTTTTTGGTCAGAGTGAGATCCTTTGCTTTTTTGTCTGATTTTTTTTTAACTCTTATGAACAGCTTTAGAGTTCTTTTTTGACTGCATTTTGTTTCACTTTACGTTACAGCACACGCCTTATACATTTACACCCACTGATGAAGAAATCAACAGCAAAAGGTAATTTTTAACCTTATATAAACATGATTTACATTTTAAGGAATTTTTCTTGAACTCTTTGATCTGATTATTTAAACAAAGTTTGCCTTTTTTTTTAAAAAAAACTGCATCCTATTCAATCCTTGATTTAGCTGGACCTTTTATCTGTACATTTATTTTTGTGAACAGTGTCAAGAAGGCTGAAAGCTTACAGTAGAAGGACATTTATTTAACCCTTTAACTCCCATGAGTGACCAAGACAGAATTTCTCCTTACAATATCAATATAATATCAATAAGATAAATGATGAGAATAAAGAAAAATATCAATTTGGGGATAATTAGTTGATCCAATACAAAATTCTCTGAACTAACATTATAAGAATTGTATGGTTGACAGTAAGGAGAATTACAAATTTGATCTGGGAGTCAAAGGGTTAATTAATTCAACCCTCCTATGGAGAAAGCCTGAAGTTCACTGATTGGGTAAAACTGTGGTTTGGGTTAGAACTTCTGTGAATAACTGGCCCTTTGTATTTAATTTAGTTACCTCTGAAAAAAAGATTTTGTAATTCTTCCTGCTTCCTTCTGTGAATTCTCTTCTACATTAGTACATACATAGAATTTGGTGTTTTATCAAAATAACACCCTTAAGCTAATAACAGTATTTCTTTGCATTTTCTTTTTTCCCAAAAATTTGTTTCTCTGCATACATGAACCAACTTTTACTCGCAATTTTTCCCCTAAGTCCTCAATTACTGAAAAATTTATCGACATGTTCAAAAGTGTCAGCTGGATGATGTACCCATCATCTCCTTTCCTGATGTGAACAATGTCACCTACGATTGTTTGTCTCCAGGCATGCTTTGGTAAAACCCTTAGAGAACATGAAACTGGCTGAGAATCTAAATTATGAATTTTCCTTTTTAAGGTTACAGGTGCAGTATTGTTGTGCAAGTGACAAATACCGCAGGGGACCCAAAATGGAGACATTCTTGCAAGGTTGGAAGTCTGGGACAGCAGCTGTGAAGTCAGTCTTCAGGAAATATGAACATGATTGGACAACAGTGAGTTTAATATCATATTTGTTGCATGAGAAATGCAAGTGTCATAGTCCACTTACAAGCAGAGTGACAGAATCTAACTTGAAGAATCTCCCCTTTTACTCATTTTACTCCTAATTATCTTCCTGTCAATCATCACCCTTCCTTCTTCCCCTGTCTTCTTTGCGTTTCTTATTTTATTTCTTTCCTCCCTTCCTCTTTCTCCTTCTCTTCATGTTGTTATTTTATGCACTCCTCCTTCTTCCCCTATCGCTCTTCTGGCTACTTTACCACCTCCTCCTGCATTTGTTTCTGCTCCAAAAGCTTTTCTTCTTTTTCTTCTCCTCCTCCTCT